CTAATCTTAACCAAAAAAAAAAAAACACTTAATCTTCACAGCCAATATTGCTTGTTGATTTTGGTTTTTATGGAAGTTTATTCATATTTTAAAAAAAGGACAAGAATTGTTAAATTCGAATTTGGTTTGATACTCAAAAAAGTAAATAATGCAAAGCAATCACCAAAAGTATAAAAAATAATCAAGCAATACAGAGTACTAAAAAAAGAAGAAGAAAAAAAAAGCAGCATAGATGTTGCCTATCTTTCATTTGAACAAATGGAGGAAGCCTGGAATTGAAGAGCAGTATAACTTTTGGGCGTGGATAAACGGAGCTACCTAAGATTCAAAGTATTTGGGCGTGTTCTTCAAAGTATTGAAGCATGTGAATTGAGATTCATATTAAAGCGAGAGACATAAGGCCAATTGCCAATTATTTATTTGGGTTGTTGTTAATTAATTTAGAAAAGTGGAAAGTTTGCTAGGTTAGAATAAGGGTAAATCAAGAACAATCTTATTAAAGTATTGTTTCTCCCTCATAATAGTGTCATCAAATAAATAATAAATAAAGAATTAACTATAGTTAAACTCATGGACATGTGCCAACTTTTGGAAGGGGTGGTGAGGGTACACCTAGGATTAAGGTGGTGAACAAAAATGCAACCCCAAAAGAAAAGGCAAGGCATCTTGAAAGGTAGAGTAAATATCACCGTTTGATCACTTGCAGTTGCAATGAAATTTCTTCATCACCAAACCTCATGTAGACTATCCAAACACAAAGCTAATTTTCTGTCATTTTTTTGCTAATTTTCTGTCATTTTTATAATCATAAGGGCCCTTGCAAAAAATTCTTTCAACATTTTTCCGTTGTGTGGATTCAGTGTGTATATTGTCATGTGAATTTTCAAATCATTTTCTTGGCAGGGTGGTTTTTGTTTTCTTTTTTTCTGAAAAAAAATGGATACATGAAAAGAAAAGCAGTTGACTTGTGTCTTGAAAACGAAGTTATAATATAGGAATAATGTACCTATTTCTCTCTTACAAAGACACCTCCCTATATATATATATAATTTTTTTTTTCTGAGTACCTACTTTTTCATAATGTACCTATTTATCATGTAGCAAAAAGCGTGTTACCGTCAAAGACAAAAAGTTACCGACTCAAGGTGCAAAGGAAATTTCTCTTGATGAGGTGAATTCAGTCAATGAAGGCTAAACAATTGTGAAGAGATGTTAGTCAAAAAGAAAAAAGCATCATCATGAACTGATGAAAGAAAGCTTTTGCGCTTCAGGAAGGAAGTATCACTATCAAAGACAACGTTGAAGGTTCTTTTCCTTACCCTTTACTATTATGGCTCTCACATGCGTTAGAAGACTTTCATCAGCTTGCGAATAGAGCAGACTTTGTTGGGAGAGGTCCCCGCTTTGCGCCCGACAGTACCTCGAGGGTTAGTCCCCGCAATCGCGCGGGGGATATCTTGGTTTTCACCAAGAAAAAAGAAAGCTTTTGCGCGTGAGGAAGTATCACTATCAAAGACAACATTGAAGATTCTTTTCCTTACCCTTTACTATTATGGCTCCACATACACTTAGAAGACTTTCATCACAGTAATTAGGCACTACTTAAAGACATTGATATGCCTTTGCTTTGAATGTGTTTCTTGTTATAGCATATATTGTAGCAAAGGCACTAAAATTTCTACTTGATTTGGTACTTATGGCCCTTTTGGTTTTGATTGTATGAAAATACTCCACAGGGTGATCTACCATGTGAAGATGCTTTAGACAAACATGGTGCGGCAAAGGTACAGTCTAGTTTGTATTTTGCT